AAAAAAAAATAAAAAAAAAAAATTAAGTATGAATCTCAAGATCTCTCAAACACTGTATCCCGGATCCCAGGATACGATCCCAAGATGCGGAGTTTAGGGTAGATTCTCCCCCTGAGGCCGTCTGGGGCCCAGCAGGGAGCCCAGGGGTCAGGAGCCTGGCCCTCCGTACCCCACCAGAGCCCCAGCAAAGCGGAGGCCGGCAGGGCAGGCCAACTGCCCCCACAGTCCTGGCCGTCACCAGCAGACGGCTGCTCCCTGCTGCAAGGTCAAAGCCCCTGCAGCCCCTCCCACCTGTACGTCTGCGGATTTCCAGCCAGCCCTTTGGCCAGCTGCCAACGCCCGCCAACAGACACCCGCCAGACGCTGCGGACCTCACAGCTGCCATAACAGGTTACCCCAAACTCGGCGGCCGACAACACAGACTTATCACCTCACTATTTGGGAGACCAGAAGTCTGACATGGGTCTCACTGGGCTAAAGTCAGGGCATATTCCTTCTGAAGTTTCCAGGCAAGAACCCAGGTCCTCCCGTGATTGCAACCTGTTGGCAGAATTTGGATCCTGGGGGCTGAGGCCCCCATGTCCCTGCTGGCTGGAAGATGAAGACTGTTCCAGCCTCAAAGGCCTGCTGTGCTTTTGGCTCCTAGCCCTTCCCCCACGTCCAAAGCCAGAACCACATCCTCTTGACGTCCATCCCTGACGGGCTCTCCTCTTCCACTCCACGGGCCCGGTGGACACTGGGTCCACCCAGACAGTCCAGGCCAACCTCCCCCCGCCTCCGAGGCCTCACACTCACCTTGCCTGCAGCCCCTGTGCCCCGTGAGGTAGCACCACGGTTGCCAAGTGTGGGCGAAGCGGGCTCCATTAATTGGCTCATCACAGAGAGGGTTACTTGCCAAAATTCAGATGGCAGCCCTATCCCTGGAAACCGGGATTCACGGTCTTAACCCTACCCGTTCTAGTTAACCAGAAGAGAAATGCTGCTTTTGGAAGAATCTACATAGAGCACTGGAAGTCAAGACAGAACGAACCCCCGGGACAGGAGAGGAGAGGCCCGGCTTCCCGCTGACAAGGTCGGCCCCTGCCTCACCCTCACTGTACCTACGTTCCCGTATTTCAGCAAGGTCACATAAATGTTAAACTCCAGGACTGTCCAGGGCCCGGACGCTCGCACACCTGCAGGATATCTGGCACCCTACTTCATCCGAGCTTACACCCCATTTCGCACAAGATCACAAAACCCAGGCTCATGATTCAAAGCCTGAGGCTCAGGACACCAAGCAACTGTGGGCACCACGTGCCCGCTCCCGGCGCTCCTCTGTCCCTGGGGCAGGAGGACCGTTACTGACGCCCCCCCCACGCCGGCGCTCTGCAGCCGGCCTTGAGACCCTGCGCACACGAAAGGTGGGGTTCCCAGATCACAGACAGAAGCGGGCGGGAGCTGTGCCAGCAGAGAAAACTGCTAGGTAAGAGCAAGTAAAGGCCCAGCCCCTCGCCTCTTAAGGGACCGGCCGGACACGCCCGCTCTCAAGGAAGGACCAGCGATACAAGCAGCCCCGCCTCCGGTGGTGCGATTTCCCAGGTCACAAGAGGGAGAGACGAGAAAGAACAAACACACAACAGAAGCACATGGTGCTGATCTCTACAGCTGACGTGACACTAATCGGTCCAGGCCACCCGTCAGAGCTGGAGGCTGACCTATTTTCTACAAAGACTGAAATTAGCATACCTTCGTCTCTAAAGACAGAAGCTACAGGGGGAAAGGGTCCGCTCAAACGGAAAGAAAATCACCGACAGGAATAAAATTCAGGGGCAAGACCTCGAGTCCACAGGAGTCCCCAAAGCAAACAAACTAGCAAAAACACTTCTCTGAGCAACAGTGGAGATAAACACACACTATTTCAGACAAAATCAAAGCGAGAGCTGTCTTCAATGTAGTAACTAGAAGAAAACCAGAAGTAAGGCATTAACCCCCTGCGTGTTCAAACACAGAACATCAGCTGAGGAAGAGCTTTTTCAAAGGAAAAGGCAAAAACGAGAAGAATTTTCTCGTTGCTGAGCCACAAACAGTCACGGAGCAGCGCGGGCCGAGCATGTAACCCGTCCTGCCCACGCTCCAGGGGACAACCCACCAGGCCCCACAGCAGCATGACTCTGGGTGAATGTTCAGTAAGGTGTGTGAGAAGATCCCCGCTACCCCGGCCACAGGTAAATGGTACAAGTGAAGGGCATGTCTCATGTACAAGCCACACACAGAGATAAAACTGCCTCCTCAGACAGCATCTTTCTGTGACCCGATCTTGTCCCAATTCAGCATCCCCTCATAATCATCACAGAGGATGCTGGCACACTGAGATTAGTTCGTAAACATTTAACGTGCTGAAAACACGGACATCGGTGACACACAACCGAGCATTTGGTGGCTTCAAAGCTGCTCAGGTAACACTAACGCGGCTCCCTACTTCACCCACGAGCACAGGATGACTTTGCTTGCTGATTTAGTGCTTTATTCCCAAAGTTGCAGACCACCAACCTGCAAAGAAACGGCGTTTTACGTTCAGCTCATTTGTCACGCGGACTTCGGTGCAGAGTTTCAACATCAGTAACATGGTCAAGATCATGACTATGCTTTGCCAGAGGAGCGGCGACTCAAAATGCCTTCCAAACCTGGGGAGGTAAAGAGACCACGGCATCAGGAGGGCCCCCGCACACCAGGGGCCTCACCGCCTCTCCCTGCCCAGGTCCCGACCAAGGCCCCCACGGCCACATCCTGAGCAGCCCCCAGAGGGTCTCTCACATCCGTCACAGCCTCTGGCACCGACTGCCTCGGCCTCGGGCTCCACGGTGCACAGAGCTGGGTGAGCAGGGACGCTCCTGGACGGCTGGGCGCGGGGACACCTCTCAGAATCATGTGCACGGCTCCTCAAAAGCCACACTCACCTCCCCAGGAGCCGCTGATGAGGGTGTGGACGGGACTCCCCGTTCCCTCGCCGCACAGCCAGGTGCCCAACACCCCACCTGCAGAGGCACCTGCAGAGGCACCTAGACCACCTGATGCCCTGGGAAGATGCATTCCAGAGTCCAGGAATGACAGGAAGCCCTGCCCCCTGACGAAGACGAGTGGGGTCAGCAGGCCAGAGCAGCCCATGCTGTGAGCAGACCAGTGAAGGGGGCCAGGGCACCCCCCACCCCCGCACCCCAGAGAGGAGAAGGCAGCTGAAGGCACAACCCCCTCCCGACCTGAGGCCCTGACCGCCCCCCCCCCCAGGCCTCTCTGTCCAATCTCCCTCCCCACCCAGGTCTCGCTGACCCCCAGCCGAGGCCTAGTGGCTCGCGCTCTTCTCTGGGCCCCGACCCCGCCCGGCTCTCACATCCTCCCTGCTGGTTTTCCCTCCAGGGGCAGAACTTCTCACCAACTCAGCCACAAGCTCGAGGAGGTGAGATCGCAATCTAGTGACTAGCGCAGGCTGGGCCTGTCGGCAGAACCCGAACCCCAGGGGCTGAGAACAGCCCGGCCCTTCGGGGGGGCAGCTCGGGGTCTCCGCCACGGCCACCAGAACCACCAGAGCCGTGACCTGTCGGGCCACGCAGGCCTGCGGGACTACCATCGACGAGGCCAGGGCACAGCACCGTGCTCTTTCAAGGCCCAGCCCCAATTCTAGCCCAGCTGCTCTGGAGAAGGAACCCCGCTAGGTCTGCCTACAACATGGCCTGAAGGGTATTCCCAAAACTGGGGCTGGCGGTCAGCACCTCTAAGTCAGGAGAGCCTGCAGTCTGATTTCCCAGCTGCTCCCGAAAACAAGAAAACACAGAGACCATCACCCGGGCCCCACCTCCCACGTCCTCTCACTCCCTCGGGCCTGAGCCTACACCCAGCTCCCCCTGCAGAGAGGGCTCACCGGGGGCCGACCACGCCCACAACACAGAGCTGGGGCAGAGCTCCCTGAGGGGCCACCCCTGGGACTGCACCAAATCAATGAGAAATCGGGACAAAAACTCAGCGGCCGGGCTCGTGGTAAAGGATGAGACCAGAGGCAGCCCCTCCCCGCCGGCCAGGGCATGTCTTTGGAAGCTGTGCCTATGCTAACAAGTCTTACCTACAAGGTAAAGAAACAGCGATGTCCCCAAGGTAGAGACACTGACCCCTGCACCCGCTCCAGGGCCGACTCGGCGTCTTCAAGCCCACGTCTGTGAGCACCTCACCGCCAAGCTCGGATCACCTGCCTCTCAGGAGAGAGCAGACAGCACCTCCGATGAGGATTTGCCACGACCACAGCCACGGCCACAGCCACGGTGAGCCGGCCCAGCAGGTGAGAATGTGCCACCTGGAGGGGAGCCACACCAGCTGGGGCTCCCACAGGAGGTCAAGCAACCAGGAAAAAACAGATGTTCCCTGCGGAGTGGGGGTTCCAGACACCGGTTCCAGGACTGGCATTCTGCACTGGTTCCTGACGCCAAGGCCCATGTCCTCTGAGCAAAGGACAGAGCAGGCCTGAGGTCACAGAGGCTCAGGCCCATGCCACCTGGGTCCAGGAAGGGCAGAGGGGCCAGGACACAGCAGACGGCTCCATGACCACCAGCTTCTTCCTGCCTCCCCAGGAAATGTCACTTCGGCTCACCTGGGACCCCGCTCCTTCGTCAGGCCTCTCCTGAGGTGCCTCAGGAATTGCAAAGGAAATGCTAAGTGACTGGAGCAAGAAAGGGTTGATGAGCCAGGCCTGGGTGAAGAGAAGGTACGAGAAGAAAGAGGTGACAGTGCCCTGGGGCTTTCTAGGTCAGAGGCACAGGCTGGGGGCGCTTCCGTAGGCTCATACGGGCTCCAGGCCCCTGGCACCCGTGAGCCACTGCCCCTGCACCTCATCTCTGCTGTAGAGTGCGACTATAACACCGGGGACTATCTAAGGACGTTCCTAGTCATTTCTAGGAACTGGATCCCATGGTTACCCAGCTGACCCCAGGGGTCAACTCATCTATAGGTGAAGGTCAGACAAAGGGCCAGCAGAAGCTAGATGTCAGCCTACTAACACTGGAGATGCTTCCTTCCCAAGCAGGCTGGGAAGAACCACAATAAATAAGCTGCCCTGGGGCCTCTCACACCAAGCTCATCATGCAAGAAAGGCCACTTTCATGTTTTAAATGCTCAACAGAAACAATGACTGGAAAAACTGGGCAAAGAAATCAAGGTTTGCACTTCTCCTTAAACCACACACCTAAAGAGGCGCTTGGGTGCCCCAGTGGGTTAAACGTCCGACTTGGGCTCAGGTCATGACCTCATGGTTTGAGAGTTCAAGCCCCACATCAGGCTTGCTGCTGTCAGCACAGGCCTGCTTGGGATCCTCTGTCCCCCTCTCGCTGCCCCTCCCCCGTCGCACATGCTCTCTCTCTCTCTCAAAAGTAAACAAACATAAAAAAAAAAAAAAACCCACCAAAAATCGAATCCAGATGAGCTCAGTATTTATAGTAAAAACAAGACCATTTAAAGTGAAGTGAGAGGGAGCAGAGGTGAGTACTTAGGGTGAAGACAGGCTGAGACACAAAATTTCAAAAGGCACAACTTTCCACAAAAGATACACAAGAGACAAAATAAATACGAAACAAGGTTCAATGTCATTAGCAACTTCATAAACTAATTAAAATACAAAGATACCATTTTTTACTTGTCAAATTAGTTAAGCTTTTCTTCCTTTGATGCTAATAATCTGTACTGACGGGGATGTCGTGACAGCACTTTGCCCTCGCCTGTCCCTGACAATATGGGTTGGCACAACTTTTTCTTAGAACAAATGATGGGACAGCCTACCAGACAGGTGAAGGGCCTGCCGCTCACGCAGCCACTCTGAAAGGGTTCAGGGCGCCTGGGAGCCCGGGAGGCTCAGTCAGCGAAGCATCCGACTTCGGCTCAGGCCATGATCTCACGGCTGGAGTTCGAGCCCCATGTCAGGCTCTCTGCTGTCAGCACGGAGCCCACTTCAGTTCCTGTCACCCTCTCTCTCTGCCCCTCCCCAGCTCATGTCTCAAAAGCAAATAAAAACATCAAAAAAAATATTTTAACTAAAAAAAAAAAAAATACATTAAATAAAAAAAGTTCTCCCTTAACTGCAGTGTCCCTAGGTCTCACCCCCCAGGAAGGTACACACCGAAGAGGGGACAGGCAAACATTTCACCCAAAGTTTCCACAGAGATCACCTTCTCCGGGTCTTCAAAGTTACAGAGTAAAGCTCAAGCGGAAAGAAGTTGTGTATCTACTTCCCTGTGTCACGCCAACTGCTACACCCTTAGCAAAATGTTACTACGTCCTCAATAGTGTGGTATCTCTGGCAGTGTTCCTGTATCTCCCATCCAGTGTCAGGCTGCATGTCCAAATACAGTGTTACCACACCTCGGAAACAGCTTACGGCGTCGCTGACACAACGTTGCCGTATCCAGTGCAGCGCTAAGGCAGGTCTCCAATGCGGTGTTATCACGTCTCAGTTACTTTGTTTACTGCACGTCTGATACAGTGTTAATACATCTCCGATACAGCCCTGCTACATCTCTGATAGATGATGCTACGTTACCACATCTGATACGGTGTCATTACATGGCTGAAGTGTGCCCACGTTCCTGATACAACGTCACTGCATCCAATACAATGTTATTACGCATCTGATCCAACATTACCGTATCTCTGATGCAGTGTGTTCGTGTTCATCCAATACAAATGGAGCTTGAGAACTACCTCTACCAAGACACAAAGTTCTGGGGGGGCCTTGCAACATCATCCGTGCACCGTGGCCCCTCCCTCCTCGTCCCTTCTACAAAATCACAAGCCTGCAAACATGAGCTACGAGGCATCATTTAGCCTTTCTCTTGGCTTCTCCTGACACCACAGAGGCAAAATCCTATTCATCAGCATTTTATAGAATATAATCTGCTGAATGCTAGTTTTGCAAAAGGATGATAAGAATCGCAAGAAATCAGGGCGCCGGCGTGGCTCAGTCCGCTGAGCGTCCGACTTCAGCTCAGGTCATGATCTCACGGTTCATGAGTTCGAGCCCCGCGTTGGGCTCTCTGCTGTCAGCACAGAGCTGGCTTCAGAAACTCTGTACCCCTCTCTCTGCCCTTCCCCTGCTCACTCTCTCTCTCTTCTCAAAAACAAATAAACATAAAAAAAAAAAAGAATTGTAAGAAATAAAGCGCTAGGGTCTCACGAGTTTCAGGAACCTGGGGTTTACAAGCTCCACTGGCCTCCCTGGGCGGCAGGGCCACCCACGAGCTCATTCCATGAGTCTGCAGGGGGCTTCCCAGCCTGGAGCTCTGAGGACCACGCTCTCAGCCAGCTCTAGGAAACACACTCTTCAGTTCTAACTTCACCACTGTTCCAGTGTAGACCCTGCTTCCCCCTCAGGGGGCGCCCGCCATGACCCGTATGTGTGTAAATGGTACGTTCCACACAATGCTTCTGCTGAAGCGTAAACCCTGCGGCATCTGCAGCGTCTGGAACATGGGAAACCCTCTAAAACCTATTAAATCATGTGGGCCACTAACCCATGAAGCCTGGAGGAGGCCCAGGAGTGGGGTCTTAGGACTAGGTGGGCAGAGAGGTACATGTTAGTCACAAGCCACAGGCGGAGCCCAGCCTGCCTGCTGGGGTTCACCCCGTGAAATCCAAGTACTGCCCTATGTGAGAAGCACATGCCCAGGCCAGAGAGACTCCTGAGGAGGGACCAGTGCCCTCTGCCAGCCCCCCTTCATCCCAGAATACTGCCTGAAGGCAGCGCTGGGGTTCACACGGTAGCCACAGGACCCCTGAAGTGACCCAGGACGGTTCAGGGTGCAGACTCCGGGGAAGGACCAATCGGATGCACAGAAATACGCTGGCCCGTGGACAAAACTGAGAATCACTAAAGGCCCCCTGTGCTGAATTAGGAGAGAGCACACACTCGTTCTCAAAGTCCCAGGCCCGGCAGTGAAGGGAGAACTTCTAGTCCAAACGCATTAAATGCCAGTTAAATCCAGAGGCCCTGGTGACTTGGCTTTCAAGAAATTAGTTTAACTTCTGCCTTCTCCAAACCAGGTATTTGGACGTAGATTAGATACCCTATTCTCTTCTCTGCAATCGTAAAGGATAAGTACTCTTTTTTTTTTTTTTTATGTTTATTTATTTCTGAGACAGAGTGAGAGTATGAATGGGGCAGGGGCAGAGAGAGAGGGAGACACGGAATCCGAAGCAGGTTCCAGGCTCTGAACTGTCAACACAGAGCCCGACACAGGGCTCGAACTCACAGACCGCGAGATCACGACCTGAGCCGAAGTCGGTCCCTCAACCAACTGAGCCACCCAGGCGCCCCGAAGGATGAGTATTCTTAAGGAAAAGACGTCTCAACTGCTCTCTGTCCCGCCCCCCCTTCCCATAAGGGAAGCCAGTCTCGGGCACTTCCCCTCCGCTGCCAGAGAAAACTCACTCCAGCGCCTAATGAAGTGCCCTTCCTGGCCAACGCTGTGACACCAGGCAGGTGGCAGGCCAGGGGCTCCCTGAGTGCCCTCCAGTGCGCTCAGGGTTAACAACTGTGTCAGAGGCTACTGCATTTTGGGACCTGCTTCCGTTCAACCTTAGACCGGATTAAGGCCATTTTAGAAAAGGGAAGCCACGTGTCACCCTGAAGTGAGTGAGCTCTGTCCCCAAAGGAAAAAGAAGAATCTTCAAAATGGGGTTCTTCAACTTGTGCCAAAGAAAAAACTAAGCACCCACTGGCCCTCCTTTCAAAGCAGCCCGGCCCAGAGACAAACCTGGCGGTGTGACACATTCTCCGGGGAGGAGCCAACTTACCAGCTCACCTTTTAAAAGCCCCGGACGAGGGCAAAACTAACGCACAGTGGACACAAATCAAAGGCATGGGGCCACGGCTGGATGGAACACAGAGGAGAGAACTTCGGGACTCAGAACAGTCATCTCTTGGTTGTGATGGTGACGGGAAGGGGGCGTTGTCAAAACTCATCGAACTGTACGCTTACAATGGATGCTTTTATTCCACGAAAATCGTACCTCCGTAAGGCGGACTCAAACATGAATTAGCTGGGGAGCCAGGGTGGCTCAGTCGGTTAAGAGTCTGACTTTTGATTTCAGCTCAGGTCATGACCTCTCAGTTTGTGAGTTCAAGCCCCGCACCAGGCTCTGAGCCGACTGTGGAACCTGCTTAGGACTCTCTCTCTCTCTCCCTCTCTCTGCCTCTCCCCTGATCGCTCTCTTTCTCTCTCTCTCAAAATAAATAATAAACTTAAGAAAAAGAACTAGCAAAAAACGTGATTACTCAGTAACGAACAAGTCAGAAGGAAGGGCCAGAAGCAGAGCTCTGGACACCCCCGCCTGGTGCCCTTATCCGGCCTCCACACCCACCCACCCTCCGGAGCAACTTTCCTCACTATCTGTGCTCACAGAGGGTCCGGGCGCCACCAAGTAGAAAGGAAAGTTCCAGACCTTTTTAGTCTTAGAATGAGGCTCCAAGATCTCATTTCATTTCCTCTAAAAACTCCCCCTCCCAAACATGTCTCACTTTAGCAACTGTTAAAATTAATTTCCGGTTCCTTACCCGAATGCAAATGATAATAAGAGGAAGCTGGGCTGGGAGTGGCAAGAAAAAATAGTCTCTTAAGTATTATCCAGAAAGTTGACTTTCCTATTAAAACAAAACAAAACAAAACCGTACACACAACAGGAAGGCTGAGGGGACCACCGTCCCTGTACATGACCCCTGAATGCTCTTTCCTGTCAGGCTGTGATGTCCCCTCCTAAGGGGCTCCACTGGTCAGTGGTCAGGCTGTGAGGTCCCCTTCCTACAGCTCATCCCTTTTTCTTCATCTTAATCACTTACTCATTCCTTGTTTTCTCTTTCCCACTCCCATGCAAATTCTAAGGACAGGGACCCAGTTCTAGGACCTTATCCAGCACACAGAAGTCCGTGGGAAAATATTTGACAACGTAAGAAGGACAGAAAATGAAGACGCGGACGTGAGACTACAGTAAGTTTCTCCACTCCAATCCCACCATTTTCTCCGGGGAACAGTCCCGCCCACTTCACCAGCTCCCTCCTAGGAAGTACAGCCGCCTGCACCACCACCCCACTCCGAAACCCCAAAAAGAGAAAGCCATCACCCTGGAAGTACCCCCACAGAAAGCTCCCAACTTACCAGAAAAGGATCCGTAAAATGTTAGCCACCAGGAGCACCAGACACACGTAGGTAGAGAAGCCCTCAGCATTCTGAGTCCTCCGGATGTCCCTGTACTGTGGGATATAGGGCACGACCCCTCCGAAGACCATGGCCCCGGCTGCCCCCCAGGACACCAGCTGGTGCAAGGGGACCAAAAGCCAATCCAAGCCTTCTGCTTCCATCCCGACTGACGTCCACCTGGCCCGGGGGCCCTCCGCTCTCACGGTCCTGGAACGCGCGCTGACGGTCACCCCCACATCGCCGCCGCTACCTTGTGCAGTCCTCCACCATCGGGGCCTGGCGAGAGAGGAAAGGAGGTGAACTCCGGCGCAGGGCCCTGGAGGCAAAGCGAGGGGCGCGCTCCCAGGGCGCTCCCGGAAGCCCGCGGAGGCTCACGGCGGCGGCACGACCCCCTCCTCAGACACCGGCGCCTCCGGGAGCCCTGCGCACGCGAACCGGCACCCGCGGGGGGAAAGCGGCGCGGGGCGCACGGCGGTGGACGCGGGCCTGGGAAGCACGCTCAGTCCGGGGGCGGGCGATGGCTGCGTCCCAGCGGGAACACGCGGCCGGGGTGGGGCGGAGCGCGCTCAGTCCCGGGGGCGCGCTCAGCCCCGGTGGGGCTCTCAGTCCTGGGGGCGCGCTCAGTCCTGGGGACGCGCTCAGCCCTGGTGGGGCGCTCGGCCCCGGGGGCGCGCTCAGCCCTGGGGACGC